TATCTTTTACAAACTGCTAAAATGTGTGAATGTACAAAAAACGACTAAAATTGAGCGAATAAGTTATGTTTAGACAAGTCAAATTCTGTCAACTGATTTTGCCATCTATTAATTTTAGTGCATACAGAACGCAAAATAGTCGAAAGAAAAACACTGCCTTTTTTGACGGACAACGAAGTATACTATATAAGCTTTCAATCTGTTTCATCTTTCGACTTTCTGCATAAAAGCTGTGCATAAAGTACAAAAGAAAACAAGGAAGCATATTTATTCCAGCTTCAATTTATTATTAATAGTGTATTATAAACTTGGCTCGAATTTATGCGATTTTTTAAAAATTGTAGGTAAGCGTTCGGGTTACCACCATGGATGCGGAACTGGAGTTCGCAATCCAGTCAAACACGACGGGTAAACAGTTGTTCGACCAGGTATACGTTGATTACATGTTTTCATATGTATATGGCAATAAAACATCAGAATTTGTTTGCTCTTCATTTTTTTGTAACTTTTTTTCCGTTTCCTGTTTTTTTCTTCTCATTCACTTTCTTCTCTCCCTCTCCATTGTCTCCTTTTCCCTTCATTTTCTACCTTGTAAGTTTCTTTTTTCCTTGTAATTTTCCATCTTCTTTCTGTTCTTTTTTCTAAATATTTGTCGCCTTTATTATTCAAAATTTCGATGGCCTTTTAGTTGTACAGTTTTTCGTTTTTTCTGCATGTCCTTTTTGAAGGTTGTGAAAACAATTGGACTCCGAGAAATTTGGTACTTCGGTCTGCAGTATACTGATAGCAAAGGATATGTCACCTGGCTGAAACTAAACAAGAAGGTAAGCTAATTTAAAAGCAATTCCGTAATGACCTTTATAACAGCCGTGCGTTTTCAGGTTCTCGGTCAGGATGTGAAGAAAGAGCGTTTGTTGCAGTTCAAGTTCCGTGCCAAATTCTACCCTGAAGATGTTTCAGAGGAGATCATTCAGGACGTTACGCTGGTAACCGGTTTAATGTGAATTGAGGAGGCCTGATTTTGACTCCCCTAAACTGATTTAATTAATCGACGGAATTATGGAATGTCATTTGAACTGTGGTCAACGTGGATGTTATACTTTCTGCTTCTTGAGCTTTCTCACTAACTGATCTCTGTTTTTGTAGCTTTAATTTGTTCTGAGCTGAAACGCCTTTTGTATCAGTGCAGTAAACAGTATTGACTAACACGAAACAGTTGAAAATCCTTTTAAAATGCAAAGGTTCTGTATTAACTGGATGAGTTTATTTTGTATCGATGGTATAATAAACACTGCAAAAAAAGCATTTGCAAAATATGGTTTAACCATATTAATGAGTAAAAAGTGTAAGGTTGTAGGCCGGAAAATGTAGGATTTACAAGGCCTTGTTTCTAAACGCTTTGGACCAATGGCTTGCAGTTGCCGCGTTGTTTGACCACATAACAGCACTCTCGCTCTCTGGCTCTCATACTCTCTCGCTCTCTCTCTCTGTGATTCTGAGCATCGTTGGCAGGCAGGTATAGCAAATAGCGTATCGTTCCTCTACAGCTCTCGGAACGATAGGTGTATGCCTCCCGTGTATTTTCGCCATCATGATCGTTGGCAGTACTCTTGATGTCGTTATTTTGTTATGCCAAAACATGACGGATAAGTCCATCTTCTTAGATAAGGGTAGAGTCAGAACTTAATCACCGCTGGAATAAGCGACATAATTCTTTCTAAAGGATAAAATTTTTAGACGATTAATGCAGAATATCTTCACCCCATTTTATAAACCTGATCGTACAGAAGCGGAATGTTTTGTCACCTAGAAAAGATATTAACAAACAGCTAAACTCCGTAGAAATGCAGATGCTCATACTTAAGTGATGTTAGCCGGAAGGACGGAATACGATTTACCTTCATGATAACGGACACGATCGAATGCCAGCTGTATAGATTCGAATAATGATGGATGTAAGATGTTGCCCACATAAGAAATGTTATCAAAATAGATAAAAATCAAAGAAAAATTTGTCCCAGTAAAAACAGTATGAATTCGGGAATGGCCCAAACTTTCGAAGAAAGCAGAACATTGATAAAATTGACTCGCACGGCGGATCCATATTGCATTGAATACGTTGAGACGAAAATGCTGCAGATTAAAATGCGTTCAGTAACGTGCCTGGTTTGATATGCTGTTGCTACGCTGGTCAGTGTTAACACTTATCAGCGGAACTGCCCATTTTCCAAAATTTGCTAATAGGACAATTTCTTAGCTAAAGCGTTAACGTGGATCATTTTCTAAACATTTCATGCATTTTTACATTTTATGGTAACTTGTTTAATGTGTTTATTTTGTATTGCAGAAACTGTTCTATCTCCAAGTGAAGGAAGCAATTTTATCTGATGAGGTGTATTGTCCTCCGGAGACGACCGTTCTTTTGGCCAGCTATGCGATGCAAGCGAAATACGGCGACTACTGTCCCGACGTTCACAAAAAGGGTTGTCTGTTGAACGAGAAGTTCATGCCCGACCGTGTTCGAGAGCAGTACAAGTTGACGAACGACCAGTGGGAAGAACGAATCGTCACTTGGTGGTCAGAACACAAGTGCATGATGAAGTAGCCGATTTGTTTGTCGGTTTATGTCGGTCTTTTTATCCGCGTATGATTTCTAGGGAAGATGCGATGATGGAATACCTGAAAATTGCCCAGGATCTTGAGATGTACGGCGTTAACTATTTCGAGATCAAGAACAAGAAAGGTACCGAACTGTGGCTTGGCGTTGATGCACTTGGCTTGAACATCTATGAGAAAAATGACCGACTGACGCCAAAGATCGGATTTCCATGGAGCGAGATACGCAATATTAGTTTTAACGACAAGAAATTTGTGATAAAGCCGATCGACAAGCGGGCCCCGGTAAGGAAAGATATATTCTGGCAGCTACGGATTGCGTCGAACCTGTGGCTTTGATC